GGCTTCCCATTGCCATTTCATTCCAATAGAATGAGGGCTGTCACTTCATCACTTTTCAGAGCATATATGTGTAGACAACAATAAAGCTGAACGAGAGGAATAAACTGCCAAATATTCAAAAAACAAATATAAAAGGTAAAGGATGGTAATCTAATGAGCGCTGTGCATGGATTTAAGAGGAGAGAAAACTAACAGAAGATCAGGATCTAAACCTTGCCACAAAACCTGGAGAGGATTTAGCAGAGGATAGGACACGCCTGCCAAGTTTGGTGTGTCCGAAGGGGAACCGAAGTGCTGGGCAATGGAGGTGGCTCGTAAAGTAAAAGGAGAACAAAGTCATGATAAAGGATTGCAGGAAATTGGTGACCTTCACATTATTCAGGGCAAGCAGAATGAAATCATTAGAGTGACTTAGATTAGAAATACGGAGAGACTGGGCTGCTGGACTTCTGTCTGTATTGCTGCGTTCATTGTGTCTTCATTTTAGAGAACTCTGGATGGCTCTACTGAATGTTGGCGCTGTTATGGACACAGACAGTGCTGTCTTTGCCTATGTGGTCCAGTTGAGGTGTCAGACCAGAAATAATTAAAACGAGCACATAATTACAAAGGGCCCTTAAGCACTGGAAGGAAAAGAAACATGAAAAGAACATCTTTACATTTGTTTCATTCAAACTTCCTATACTTAGGCTTGAAAATCCCCTGCCACACTAAAACCTCTTCTTGGGAAGCCTCCAGTATATCCTAACATCCAACATAGAGGTTAGGAAGTAATAGATATTAAATGAACAGTCTGGTTGTTATAGTCAATTCAGATCTGGGGTCTGTGGTCACTGCCCGTGTCCCCGTGCGAACCTGCAGATTTGGCCTCTTTCTTATTTTAACTCATCTTACCCGAAACACTTACAACTTTTTCATAGATAAATGTGAATTTCAGTCTATCGTTATTCTCACAATCCTAAAATTAGTGAGGTGCAAATTAATGAGATTTACCAAAGTATATTTAGGGCTAGAAAAGGATTTCTGTGTCCTTCCAAATAAAGGCTTGTTTATAAATTAGCTGTTAATTTAGATAATTACTGGTTTGTAGGTTTAAACAAAGTGTCTCTCACATTCATCATCGCTGATGATATCAGACTTTTGAAAAGATTCATCTTTTGACACCAGAAGGCATTAAAATGTGAGGCCAGAATTAGCTAAACTGTAATAATGTGATAATTGCTAAGTGTAAAGCCACACCAACAATGTATCTAGCAAAACACTAACACTTTTAGTGTGAACTTATGGTGTTCAGTAGTAGCTTATTCTTTCCATCTGTTGAAGTGATTTTTCTTCTTTTGATTCTTCTCAAACTAGAAGACGATACATTAATTTTGCATGTTATGCTAACAGGTACAGACTACAATGAAATAAGAACTTCTTTAGCTGCAAGCTATTTTACATATGTATTACTAGTAAAAGCTGTTATCACAACTATGTTCAATATATGTTCAATGGGAGCCAAAGTTATGAATTTGAGTCTCACTGTTGGTAGCTTTTTCTCATTAGACCGGGCGTTCTGACAGTTGACTAGACATTACAATCATTTGAGAAGCTTTTAAAGATACTCATGCACAAGTCCCCCCTTTAACAACTGAGTCAGATTCTGGAGATGAGACTTGAATATTAGTATTTAAAAAATCTTCTGAAGTGTTTCTATCATGCAGACAGAAAATCAATGTATTAGACATTAAACCTTATTATATTTTATCCATCTCTATAGTCTTTCACCCAGAATTGTAGCAAGCCCCTAAATGAATGTTAAGTTTGATAAAGAAATCACTGCATTACCTAAAGCATGAATATCATCTTAGAGTTCGGTGATTCTTCTTCCCATTACCATAAGACTTTTATTTTTCAATTACGAGGCTCACTCTTATCACCTACATCTTGGTTTGTGGGGAACAGGTGTCTAGAGTCTGGACACTACTTGACCTCGTGATTTACACCTCTTTAACGTAAAATATTCACTAGTATTTTGAAAGCTCTCTTACATAGAAAAGCTATTACTAAGTAGAGAAAACAAAACAAGAGTATTGAATTACACTAGGGGGAAAAGAGCTCAATAAAAGGATGAAACTGAAAAGTATATCCAATTAACAACCCAGAAAATTGAGTGATTCAGCTTGTATTAATTTTGTAAGTAAATCATTTGAGATTTAAATACTTTTCTATCAGTTAAAATGCAGTCAACATTTTGCATTAGAAAATAAACATTTCTACAATTTGACCTATCACTGAGAAGCATAGAAAATTGGGAATACTGTGTATATGAAGCATTCATAATAATTCCACCTAGAAAATTTTTTTTATCCCATGGGGGAAAAAAGATCTACAGAAAAGAATCCAAATGACCTAAATGAGGGAGGATTGGTTAACTAAACTTATATTCAAGGAAATAAATATCACATATTCCCTTGAAATACCAAGTATGAGAGCTACACAGCAACATGAAAACTGGATATGGCAATCGAAAAGCAGAGTATATTATTTGCAAACAATGATTGCAATTATGCGTAAAACTGCCTAAATGTTGGAAATCAATGCACTGAAGGATACCACAGTGCAGTGGATAATTTGACTTTTTCCCTTTATTTTTCCTTCTTTATGTAATGTGATCTTACTTCACAAATTGTAAAATGTTCCTTGGCAAACCTTATCTCAATCATCCTTTAGCCTTCCTGACACTATTTCTGCAGTGTGAACATCCATGTGTCTTCGTAATTATTTTTTTAATGTTTTTATTTTTATTATTGAGACACAGAGAGAGACAGAGCATGAGCAGGGGAGGGGCAGAGACGGGGAGACACAGAATCTGAAGCAGGTTCCAGGCTCTGAGCTGTCAGCACAGAGCCCGACGCGGGGCTCAAACTCATGAACTGCAAGATCGTGACCTGAACCCAAGTCAGACACTTAACCAACTGAGCCACCCAGGCATCCCCGTAATCATTTATTTTATACTCCTTTCTTCTTAGACACTAGAGGCATAATCTTGTAAATTTGGCTGACACCTGTTCTGTCTATAATAGCTTTGCTTATTACCCTATTATTCATTAGGCTTTTCTTCTACTGTATTTATTAAAGTGGTCAGTTATTTTCAGTATTTTAATCTGGCCATAGATGTTATTGGTCCTGCAGTATGGGAATGAAGTCTCAGTTAAATTTCACAAATTACATATTTTGAAATTATGTATTCACAGAGATATCAATGAAATGATGAAAAAAGAATGTTTACCTTCTAACATGTATACATCAAATTGTTTGTTTTGTAAATATGCCTTAAGAAAAGAACTCATCCAAAACACTGGATTTCTTAATTTGTTCATTTCTTTAATTAAGCCCTATGTTTTCTCTTATGAGCCCCCAAATATGTATTCGCTCTATAACATAGAGAATTAATATTTCATTTTCATTTATTTGAAATCTGTTGACTTAGGGAGTTTGAAACCTCATATTTGACAGTTTCAATTAAGAATTAATTTCACCTAATTATACTTTGAAGAATTTGCTACTATAAATTTAAAAAACTCAGCAGTGAAAAGTGACAGAATTTTCTTTGCTTTCAACGATAAGTCAAAATGTGGAAGCGTTGCTTGCTATTACAAAATCTTATTTCCGTGAGGACTATGTTCATTCCCATCCACCGCCAGAAACAGTGATGACCTTTCATCAGAGAAAAACTGATATTTGACAACTGCAATCAAATAATCCAAATTACAATATTCCTATGAGTTGATGCTGTTTTGGGTCAATCCTCTCTGGTGCTCAACTGCTTGTATGTAGAGGTGTAGAACATGGAAATATTTTGTGTCCTGAACACGTAGTTCAATACTTCTATTTCTAGATTTCAAACATGAAATGTTCCCAAATACTTTTCCGCATTGAACTCTGATTCCCAAACTTTCCGTTGGAGAACAGCACAAATCCCCTTTGCAAAATAAATTACAGGATAGTGTTCATCCTTTGTGTTTGGGATTATATTCTCTCCACAGAAAAGGGCAGCAAGTATTAAAATACGATCATACACACTCATTCTCATACAATATAACACAGTCCATCCTCTTGGTCACAGAGTTTGTCAGCCTTACGTCTTCAAATTTTTTTTTCTCTCCCCAAGAGAAATTACCCAAGCAACCTTCCTCACAGTCAAAGATCTTACAATAATATGTACCTCAGAAATCAGCATGTCTGATTGCTCCAGAAGTCTATGTACTCAAACAGCACGTGATTTAACCCCTTCCCCCCCACACCCAATGTACTATATTGAAACCGCAGGGCAATAAAGACCCCATATAGAAAGGAGATCATTGAAAATATTTATGACCCCTGAAAAGAGTTGCCTATTCTGCAGTTTTCGGTTTTGTTTTGTTAATTTTTTTTAACGTTTATTTATTTTTGAGAAGAGAGAGACAGAGCATGAGCAGGGGAGGAAAGACAAAGAGGGAGACACAGAATCTGAAACAGGCTCCAGGCTCTGAGCTGTCATCACAGAGCCCAACGCGGGGCTCGAACTCACCGGCCGTGAGCTCGAACTCACGGACCGTGAGATCATGACCTGAGCGGAAGTCGGATGCTTAACCGACTGAGCCACCCAGGCGCCCCTACCTATTCTGCAGTTTTATATGGTCCTTGGTTTTACTTTATAGGAGGTCCATATATATCCATACTGTATCCATATTTGAATGGCAATGGATATTATGGACATGATTCCATCTCAAGGTGCTGACAGCATGCTCAGCCAGCTTTCTGCCCATGGAAATTTAGAAGCATGAGAATGGATGGATTCAGTCGAGTTTGGAAAATTACTCTTTTATCCCAGGCCAGAGGTTCATTTGCCGGTATAACGTTCACAAAAATTTAGTAGTCTTTTTTTTTTTAATTCCATTAACTTACACAAGTCAATTGTCACATCTGTAAATCTTTTGAAGATGTTCCATTATCTCCGAACTATTCATACTTACCTTGAATCTGGGAGATGTTCTGGTAGAAGGACAATATCAAGCTCTTCTCCCTGTGCCAAATAATTTACAGGGAACATAATTTAGGAGATTAAGAGGTTTTAACAACAGACTTGATGACTACACCATTGATTTGATCCTTACCAGAAAATTCAACTTTAACTGACATTTATTTTTCAAATAAATGATGAAGAAAAGAGAATGAGGTCTTGCCATTTGTGACAACATGGATGCACCTACAGGGTTATTATGCTAAGTGAAGTAAGGGAGAGAAAGACAAATACCATATGACTTCATTTATGTGGAATCTAAAACTGTGAAACCTGAAACCATTAAATTCCTAAAAGAAAACACAGGAAGTAATCACTTGGATATCAGACTTAGCAGCATAGTTATGGAACATTTCTTCAGGCAAAGGAAAAAAAAAGCAAACACAAATGATTGGGACTATACCACAATCTCATTTACAAATAATATACCTGAAAAGGGGTTAGTATTCAAAATATATAAAGAACTCACAAAACTTATAGCAGAAAAATAAACAATTTGATTGAAAAATGGTCAGTAGACCTAAATAGATATTTTTCCAAAGATGATATACAGAATGGCCAACAGACTCATAAAAAGATGCTCAACATCTCTCATCATCAGGGAAATGAAATTTAAAACCCACAATATGATATCACTTTATACCAGTCAAAATGGCTAAAATCAAAAAGACAAGAAATAATGAGTTGGTGAGGATGTGAAGAAAAGGGAACACTCATGCACAGTTGGTGGGAATGCAAACTGGTACAGCCACTGTAGAAGAGGATGGAGGTTTCTCAAAAAAATAAAAATGTAAATATTATATGATTTAGTAATTCCACTATTGGATATTTGCCAAAATTAAAAAAAACATTAATTTGAAAAGATATACAAACCCCTTTTTATTGAAGCATATTTATAGTATCCAAGGTATAGAAGCAACCCAAATGCCCATAGAAAGATGAATGGATTAAAAAGATGTGCGCATGTGCACACACACACACACACACACACACACGCCTATTATTCACCATAAAAATAAGAATGAAATATTACCATTTGCAACAACATAGGTGAAGCTTGAGTGTGTAATGCTAAGGTAAATAACCCAGTCAGAGAAAGACAAATACCAAATGATTTCACTCATATGGAATTTAAGAAACAATTGAGCAAAGGGTGGGGGCGGGGGAGGAGAGAGACAAACCAAGAAATAGACTCTTAACGATAGACAACAAACTGATGGTTACCCGAGGGGAGAAGGGTGGGGAGGTGGGTGAAATAGGTGATGGGGATTAAAGAATCCACCTATCATGATGAGCACTGAGTAATGTATAAAATTGCTGAATTACCGTACCATATATGTGAAACTAATATAACACTGTATGTTAACTATATTTAAATTTTTTAAAAATAATAAAAAAGAAAAATATGTGAAAAAATATACACAGTGTGTGATATGTATATTTATATTTAAAAAGATGTGATTTTATATATATATATATATATATATATATATATATATTACACATACACACAGTAATATTATTCAGCCATAAAAAAGAATGAGATTTTTGCCATTTGTGACAACCTAGATGGATCTTCAGGGTATTATGCTTAGTGAAATGTCAGAGAAAAGGATCATACAATTTTATTTATATGTGGAATCAAAAAAAATGAATAAACAAACAAAACGCAGAAACAGACTCATAAATACAGAGAACAAACTGGTGGTAGCCAAAGAAAGAGGGATAGGGGATGATAAAATAGATGAAGGGGATGCGGGGGGGGGGGGGAAGGAATCACAGATACAATGTCCTCCAAAAAGTCATTGCTAGTAACAGCAGGGGACAATGTATGAGCTTTGCTGGCCAACAATTCTTCTTTCGGGTGCTTTATTAGAGGAGAAACCGTAGTTTGCTTGACTAGAATAGTATTGATTAAACATAAAATCTCAAAATGTTAAATGTGTTCTGTTACAGAATTACCACTTGGAAAAATGATTCCATGTTTTTCTTTCTTTTCTTTTCTTTTCTTTTCTTTTTTCTTTTCTTTTCTTTTCTTTTCTTTTCTTTTCTTTTCTTTTCTTTTCTTTTCTTTTCTTTTCTTTCTTAATTTCTAACTGTTTGGCATTACCAGGAAACAGTCTTACCAACCAGGGAACTGATACTTTTCAAGTCATAAGTTGTCCAACAGGAGCAGATGTGGTGACTGGAACACCATCTGAAGTAACTGTCGCCATGTGGTGACAGTCCCACGAGAACATTACCATTTGAGATTTTGTTCCCTTCCCAAAGAATCTCTGTGGTTTGTAATTGTAACTCGAATCACCTCCTCATTGCAGGTGTCACGCTGCTCATGACACTGAGTTTTCCACCTTCCAGAAACCTCTTACATACTCCGTAAACCATTAACAAGTTGACCTTACCCAATGAAACAAGATGCCTACATTTTTTTTCTAAACACCAGAGAGCCCTGAGAATACGTATTATAATATATGACATAACATACGATCATGACATATATCACATTTCTCTGATGTATAGGCTTAAAGCTTAAAACATCAAGCTTCAGTGATACTGGACCCATATGGAAACACACACATAGAGGACCATGACGAAGCGTATTTGGAGTTGTAGAGCACACATAAAGAATATACTACTGTCCTCACAAAGATGAGTATGTTGTCTATATGATATTTTTCTCTTCCCTTACATTTGACTTTTTACTGATTCTAGTTTTTAAGATGTGAAGATTTTTATCTCAATGAAACCATACGTTAATAAAGGGGGAAATGCTTTATATAAGCTAGAAGATGCTACTTTGACGTTATTCAACATGTGCTCACACATAAGGTGTCTCACTCTTCCTTTTGGATGAGTCCCTGTTTTAGTCCTTCCATTGGACCTCTGTTTCTTCAGACTCCTTTTGGTCCACACAGTTGTTTGCATGTGTCAGTTCCACTATTTTTGCCTGGTATTGTCTGCTTCATTTATAGCGGGCACGTTGAAAGCCCGACAATTCTTTTGAAAAGAAAACAAATTCCATTATTTATAATTCGCTTTGATAAGGTCAGAAGAATGGCAACTTCTTCTGACAAAGGAGAAGAACATTTTAGGAAGAATTCAGATGAAGCATCTCTTCAACTGGGACTCTTTATTTCTGCAACAAAATATGATTAGCATATAACCATAAATGGAAACTTTATTTTTGTGTGACTAGAATGGCTGAAAAACAATGTAAATTTATGTTCTTGAATGAATGATCCATTTCTGTTATGCAAATATGGTTTGTATGTATGCTTTCCAAAACAGGAAATCACATATTCACAAATGAAGAATAAAATAAAAATAAATGCGAGAAGAGCTGTTCCTCTGCTAAATTAGGATAAGTATTAAAAGTTAGCTATCTGCTTTTAATTATTTTTCTAAGAACAAAGGTTTTGTACTGCTGAAGTCCTGCTGTGAACATTCCCTTTCTAAAAACCACATGGTTTGGGCTAAGATACCTGGAGTAAGGGTCCTACCCTAGGAAGAAACAGAATAAACCTATCATTAAATGACTGTATCTCCAACCAACCTTGTTATAAATATAAGATATGAATCAATATATTACACTAATTGGCCTCAGATTATCACTAATGTAGCTTCTCATAAAATGTGTTGGGCCAAGTTAACAGTACTGTTATTGTAGAAAACATCTAGTTTTTCATCATATTGTAATCCTTTAAGAAAAACATCTAAAACTATTTATTTAAATTTCAGAAAAATACCATCATGGTACTTTATGAAAATCACATAAAATGATACTAGTTAAAAATGTATAGTTAAATTGTTTTCCAACAAGTAGGCAGACAACCGAAAATAGTATTCTTTCCCACATATTATACTGGTACCACTACCACTAATAATAATCAAGAGTCAGAGATCCAACAGTAAAAATAAAGCCATATAGCATTAGAAAATACTGGGAAAACATTTGGATCCTTTTTAAATTACCAAACAGGGCAAGTTTTTCTAAGCACAATCTCATTCATGAGATCAGAGCTTTAAAATGTCATCACATAAGTATACAACTTGTGTGTGTGCAGAAGAATGAAACTAGACCACTTTCTCACACCATTCACAAAAATAAACTCAAAATGGGTGAAGGATCTGAATGTGGACAGGAAACCATCAAAACCCTAGAGGAGAAAGCAGGAAAAAACCTATGTGACCTCAGCCGCAGCAATTTTTACTCGACACATCTCCAAAGGCAAGGGAATTAAAAGCAAAAAATGAAGTATTAGGGCCTCATCAAGATAAAAAGCTTCTGCACTGCAAAGGAAACAATCAACAAAACCAAAAGGCAACCGACAAAATGAGAAAAGATATTTGCAAATGACATATCGGACAAAGGGCTAGTATCCAAAATCTATAAGGAGCTCACCAAACTCCACACCCAAAAAATAAATAAGCCAGTGAAGAAATGGGCAGAAAACATGAATAGACACTTCTCTAAAGAAGACATCCAGATGGCCAACAGACTCATAAAAAGATGCTTATCATGCATCATCAGGGAAATACAAATCAAAACTACAATGAGATATCACCTCACGCCCATCAGAGTGGCTAAAATGAACAAATCAGGAGGCTATAGGTGCTGGCGAGGATGTAGAGAAAAGGGAACCCTCTTGCACTGTTGGTGGGAATGCAAACTGGTGCAGCAACTCTGGAAAACAGTGTGGAGGTTCCTCAAAAAATTAAAAATAGACCTACCCTATGACCCAGCAATAGCACTCCTAGGAATTTACCCAAGGGATACAGGAGTGCTGATGCATAGGGGCACTAGTACCCCAATGTTTATGGCAGCACTTTCAACAATAGCCAAATTATGGAAAGAGACTAAGTGTCTATCCACTGACGAATGGATAAAGAAGATGTAGTTTAGGGGCGCCTGGGTGGCGCAGTCGGTTAAGCGTCCGACTTCAGCCAGGTCACGATCTCGCGGTCCGTGAGTTCGAGCCCCGCGTCGGGCTCTGGGCTGATGGCTCAGAGCCTGGAGCCTGTTTCTGATTCTGTGTCTCCCTCTCTCTCTGCCCCTCCCCCGTTCATGCTCTGTCTCTCTCTGTCCCAAAAAAATAAATAAACGTTAAAAAAAAAAAAAAGAAGATGTAGTTTATATATACAATGGAGTACTACTTGGCAACGAGAAAGAATGAAATCTGGCCATTTGTAGCAACGTGGATAGAACTGGAGAGTGTTATGCTAAGTGAAATAAGGCATACAGAGAAAGACAGATACCATATATTTTCACTCTTATGTGGATCCTGGGAAACTTAACAGAAGACCAAGGGGAAGGGGAAGGAAAAAAAAAGTTACAGAGAGGGAGGTAGGAAAACCATAAGAGACTCTTAAGGACTGAGAACAAACTAAGGGTTTATGGTAGTTGGGGGAGAGGGGAAATTGGGTGATGGGCAGAGAGGAGGGCACTTGTTGGGATGAGCACTGGGTGTTGTATGGAAACCAATTTGACAATACATTACATATAAAACATATCAGCTGATAGCCTTATGGGGTTTCCCTTGTATGTGACTATTTTGTTTTCTCTGGCTGCTTTTAAAATTCTTTTTCCATGCTTTTTGCCATTCTCATTTCTATGTAAGAGACATAGCGTTGATCTCCTTGGGCTGATTTTTTAGGGGGCTCTTTGTGCCTCCTGGATCTAGATTTCTGTTTCCTTCCCCAGATTTGGGAAGTTTTTAGCTACGATTTCTTCATATACACTCTGCTTCTCTTTCTCTTTTTCCTTCTGAGATCCTTATGATGTGAATGTTGTTATGCTTGATGATGTCTATGCATTCCCTTAATCTATTCTCATTTTTTTATTAATCTTTTTTTTTCTCTTCTTTTTAGCTTGGTTACTTTCCATTACTTTGGACTACAGGTCCCTGATCCGTTCTTCTGCTTCTTCTAGTCCACTATTTATTCTACTACTATATTTTTCATTTCATTTTTTGAATTCTTCTCTGATTGGTTCTTCTTTAATGTTTTCTATCTTTTTGTTGAGGGTCTCACTGAAATATTCTCTTCTCAAGCCCAGTATCTTTATGAACTTTATTTTATTTCCTTATCAGGCATATTACTTATCTCCATTTCATTTGGCTAAAATTTTGCCCTGTTCTTTCATTTGGGATACATTCCTCTGTCTCCATTTTCTCTCTGTTTCTATGTGTTAGGATAGTCAGCTACATCTCCTGCCTTTTAAAGTAGTGGCCTTATAAAGAAGAGATCCTGTAGTGCCCTGTGGTGCAATGTCCCCTGCTTACTGCAACCTGGTGCTTCATGGGTATCTCTTATGTGTGTTGCATGCATCCTACTGTTGTGGATGAGCTGTATTTGCCTTCACTCCAGTTATTTGCAATGGTTCTCTTTGCCTGTTGTGGGTAGGGTTTGGTTCCTGTGGTGTTAATGGGCCAGTCTGGGGCCTTGGTCTTGAGTTGGGTCAGATCAGACATTTGCCAGATCTATGGTAGGACCAAACTGCAGGGTGTTCTTCCTGTGTTGTCCTATGAGAAGTTTTCATTGGTGGGCAGGGCCTGTAGTCACACCAGATGTCTGCCCCTAGCCCACTGCTAGGACCACAGCTGAATTTGTGTGTGTGGTTATCTTCCCCTTTCCCTGGGGCAGGAGTCACTTTGGAGTGATGCCAGCCCCTGTTGGGGTTTCTCACTGCTATGCTTATGATGCTGCTTTGGATGGATTCTTGTTGAGGGTCTGTTGGTGGGGGCTGATCTTCAGAACATGAGGGCAGGGTGCATGGTATTAGCAAGGTTTGCATTGGCTGCTATGGGAGGGGACCTGTAGCTGCTTTGGAAAACTTCCTTCCAGTCCTGGTTGAAGGGGGTAAGTTGCAGGAGAATGCAGGGGTCAGGCATACTATTAGCAAGCTAGATCAAGAGTGTTTGTTCTGTGCTGGTTCCAGCAGGTGACTGTGTATCTAGGCTGGGGGTCAGGGGAGGGAAGTGGTGCCCTCTAGCTCTTTTGTTCTTGGAGAAGTCTCCTAATGATCCCTGCCCCTATAGCACACATTGAGATTAGTCAATAATTCTTCCCATATACTAGGTGTTTTTCAAACTGCTGTTTCTATGCTATATCTGTTTGTTATCTCTTCAAGGGTGGGATTCAGTTTTTTCATTACCCTCTGGCTTTCAGAGCCAACCTGCTAATGTTTAAAGTTCCAGGTATTAAGCCCCACCTATTACAAGAACTTGTGAAGTTAATCTATCTCGTTTTTATCACCAAATATTATGGAGATCCATCTTCCCAGTGTGAGTTCCCTGTGCCTGGGATGCCTAAGGTAGGTTCTGTCCCTCTCCCCTGTCCTCTCCTGCAGTGTCCCTCCCTCCTGCAGACACCACCATGGGTCCAACCTTGTCTCTGCCCTTCCTACCCTCTTTGATCTGGCTTCTTCTCTACATTTAGATGGAGAGAGCATTCCACTGGTCTTCCAGTCCTTTTCTACATTATTTACAATGATGTGGCTATTGTCTAGGTATATCCATGGGATGAGGTGAGCTTAGGGTCCTTCTACTCTGCCATCTTCCCTGGAAGTCTCACTTTGTTTACTTAACTCTATTTAAAGAAAACGAACAAAAACAACCCTGAGATGTGCATATAGGGGAAAAAAAGAGAATAAAAAAAGGAGGAAGGAAGGAAGAAGGCAAGAAAGGGAAGGGAGAGATGGAGGAAGGAAGAAGGCAGGAAGAAAGAAAGGAAGGAAGGAAAAAACAGAAAAAATTGTCAGTGCAAATTGCACCTCAAGCATGTGTCATCCTTGCAGGCAGAGCTCTAGCATTCACATTCTACTGCTTGGCCATTTGCTTAGGGAAGGTCAGCCTATTCTCAGGCCTAGGAGGTGGCTATGTATTATTGGACAAACTCTATTCCGAGTACATTGTTCCTAAGCCCTGTAGCATCAGCATCACCTGGGAATTCCATCCAAGACCAGATGAATCAGAAACCACAGCAACTTTGTGTTTAACAAGCCCTCTGTGTGTTAGTGATTCCACTTAAAGTTGGGGACCCAGTAGTATATGCTATACATATACATATACATATACATATACAACTAGCATAGTAGTATATGCTAGTTGTAGAAAGTTTTACTCTTAACCCGTGAGTTTTTTAGTAAAGTAGATGTAACCTACCTGAACAATGAAATACTGGGTGGTAGGAGATGATCTAGAATTTTTAGCATTTAAATATGTAAAGGGAAGATACATGTTTGTAGGTGCTACAATGATCTAGGC